TCGAATTGTTCTGCTGCATGCCGCGTTGAACATTGTAGTTGTCCCACGGAGTGGCTTTGTAGTAGACCGCTCTGAGCTGAATTGATGATAGATGTTCTGTTTCCGTATGAATGACAGTATTGGAAGTTGTGGTGTTATGGTGCCAATCAAAGAAAAGTGGAAGTTGTTCCAGCTACTCGTGCGTCCTGGATGTAGCACTACTGTCGAAGTTGTTACTTTGTCTTCCTGCTGTAGGGTTACTTCTGCGTCGACCTCGAGTTCCCAACTTGGACATTGAAAAACGCTATACACTGTTGACGTCGTAGGAGTAGCATAGAGTCGGTGAAAGAGACAGCTAGGTATGGGAAGAAAGCAACCATCGCACGTGAGCCAGCTACAGCTCAAGGAGCAAGAAGAATATCCGGGGCTATTATTTGCAGTATCTGAAAACTCTTCGAGCTTATCATTTCCCTTTATTTTATGGCATTCGTCTGCATGGCAACTTCCTGCGCGATGGCATCGGTGGACTGATTCAGATATGATTTGATGATCACGCGTAAAGAATTCGATCTTCTTGTTGCATCGGAATTTGATGCCTTCCGGTTTGATCGTCAACATTCCCATTGGTATATTTTGTGGATCGTTCAGCGTCAGGCAATTTTGTTGCTGCAAAGGTTGAAGTGTTATTGTGGTGGCGTGGTTGAATGTGCAAGTTTCTTGGTTCCCATCGGAGTCGCAGACTTCTTCTCTTGTTGTTATAGTGACAACTTCGGAACATCCATCAATGGTGCAGGTCAGTTGAAGTAGGATGAGAATTGTGCAGGATACAAAGGCTCTCCGTCGGTTTCTCTTCCTTCGATTTATATATTTCGGTAAGCGGTGTGCTTGATGTAGTCGCCTTGGTGACATATAACCGATTGAGCAGCAGTAGCGTACTATTAGTCGTATGACGTGAAGGGCAAGGCGTATCATTTTGGAAAGTAGGTAGACTGCTAGTGCCATTGCTAATAGTAGACCAATGATGAGGAGAATCGTAATACTGTATTTGTACGACCAACATTGATAATTGTATAACCTTTCCCAACAAATGTGGCATTGAAGAGTTTCACAAATGGCGTGTGCCTTGCAAGTCAGTTTGGAGTCGTGCTGCAATTCGCCATTCTTCCACGTTTTGATTGAGACCAGATGGTCGTACATTATCAAGGCGTTTGGGAATATTATTGACTGCGATGTCCAATTCCTTAGAAAGACGCAGTAATTTCTGATACATACCTCTGCGACTTCGACTGTGTTGTCAGTGTTTAGAGTTACTCCTCCAAGTGAGCACTCCCTTTTCAAAGTAAAAACATGAAGATTTTCATCTTTCTTGATTGCATTGATTTCTGGAAACCCGAATAATGATTTTGTCACGGTTCCCCATGCTTTGATTGGAATCGCCATCGATGAATCAGTCGCGTTGATGACGAGTACCGCTAGAGGATTGCCGTATGCGCAAAATAGTCTCGCATTTGGTGTGCATCGATGTCTTTCGCAAAAGCGTGAGGTTCCCGTTATTGATCGTTTGGGCAGTCGTTTCCATCTTTTTCTATCTACACATGTGAAGTCCATTTCGCTGATATACTCCTTTATGTCGATTGTTAGTTCCTCTACCAGAAGTACGTTGCCATCAAATAATTGAACTTGATGAAAGCTTCCTATTTGTCGTTTCTGGTCGCATTTCTGAGATGCCTCGAAGGAACAAACTTGCTTTGGCTGATAGCTTCTTATATCTGGAGGTAGCAGGGATAAGCTGGAAAAGGTAGTTCTGTCTGACTCAGTGTAGGAGCATGAAGTAGCCCACGTTGGACATTCACAAGAGCTGCCGCATAGCGTCGCATTGGGCTTCATGGGGAATGCGGATCGTATAGCTCCGTACGGACAACTAACTGGGAACCAACAGAGTCCTTCTGTATTGATATCTTTGTATCTTGCAACAGCTACGCCTTCTTTCGCGCAATTGGTTGCGTAGAGGATTGTCTTGTTGATCGTTAAATCTGTGGGACAACGAGTATTGATGGCGAGAGCGAGCTGACAAAATAACACGATATTGATGAATGTAAAGAAGGTGTTCACCTGTTGACGGGCCTTTGATCTTGTTGTCATCGGATGGATCGAATCAGTCCTGTTGGTTTTGTTGTTGTTGGAGTTCCTTTCGTCATTTCGTTTGCTTGTTGGCTTGTCGATATCGAGGGATGAGCCGTTGGTTGAAGATATCTCAAATTTGCATACGAGATTCAATGGTCGAGTGATATTTCTCTGCGACGCTAGGCGTATTTCTTCTATTTCTTGTAATTGTCGCCTGATCCTGTGATTCTTCCTGCCTTCCATTGTCCTTTATGGAGAGTACTATCATGGATTAGAACGATATCTCCGAGACGCGGTTGTTCTTCCTGATATGATCGGGGCGTCTTGTGGGTGGTTCTAAATTGTTCCCTCAATGATGTGAGATACTCTTTTGACCATCTTTGCCAAAAGGTGTCCAAGATTCCAGTGGTGTGACGCCAAGCCATGAGGAGGTTATCTCGGGTATCGCTCCATGGTTGCCATTCATCGGAAGGATTTTCGGCGGGTTGAGGTCCGCATAATAAGGCGGATGGTCGCAAGAAGTCAATGGGGCGTAGAGGATTTTGGTCGAGATCATCGGTGATGTAGGTGAGTGGTCTCGTATTAACGTTTGCTTCGGCTTCTTTTGCTATTGTGCGGATATCGTCTATATTAAATAGACTGTTGCCAATAGCGTGCCTAAAAGACTTCTTGAAGATATCGATCATTTTTTCGTATAGTCCTCCTTGCCAGGGACTCAAACTCGGTATGAATTTGACGTGTATCCTTTTCTGTGTGCGATAATCAATTATATCGTCGTCGATAGTTGTCTCTGGAAATGAAGAGTAACATTCGGCTACCTTTTTGAAGGAGAGAGCATTATCGCAAATGATCCATGTAGGGCATCCGACGGTTGCAATGAAACGACGTAGTACATGGAGTACTGCTTGAGTTGTCATGTTGAGAACGATGTCAACATAAATGGCTCGTGAGTTGAGACAGGTGAAAAGTAATATCCAGTATTTTTGTGTTGTATTATGATCCGACCTGTATTGCATTGGTCCGAAGAAGTCCATTCCCATTCTCTGGAACGGATATTGGGGTTGCGTGACGCGTTGTGTGGGATGAGTGGGGAATCTGGGTAGGGCGAACGGTTTGGCATTATACCTTCTACAATGGAAGCAGTGATTCCTTATAACCTTTTTTACTGCAGATCTTCCTTTAGGAATCCAAAATTTCTGACGTAGCTCAGCTAAGGTGTGGTTGACTCCACAGTGGTTATTCTCGCCATGAGTGTACAAGATGAGGAGTTTAGTGATGTGATGCCCATTCGGAAGAAACGTAGGAGTAACTGCGGCCTGTGGTAGATTGGCGTTGTTGATTCGTCCTTCTGATTTCCATAATAAGGTCTTCTCGCATTGGAATAGGTGAAGTTGTACCTTTTGGTCTTCAGTTGGTGGCACTTCCTGTTGTGCGATACGTAGTAGAACGACTTCGGCCTTTCGGATCAGTTGTATATGATTCGTTCCGAAAATGGATGCAGCCTTTTTGGATTTTGCTACAAGAAAATGTAGAACCTTCGTCATGGTGTTGAGAAGAATCTTCCATTTGCTAAACCTCGTGCAGTCGACAACTTGATGAAGTACAAGGTTATCACGTTGGTTGTTGTTTTTAGTGATCGCCATTAGAACGCCTTCGCTGACATCGTGATCCTCAGTATGATGTGCACGGCTCGGTGTTGTTGATTGTTCCATCCAGCGTTCTGGGTTCTTTGTCAGGAATGGAGGGCCATTCCACCATAATGACATTTTTCGAAGTTCAATTGTAGTAGCTCCGCGAGTACCAATATCTGCTGGGTTGCTGTTTGTGGGGACGTAGTTTATTGTTACGTCTGTAGTGTGGTCCTGAATGGTTTTGACGCGATTGCGAACAAATACGGGAACTTGTCTGTCACTCTTAGTCCAAGTCAAGGCCACCGTGATATCAGTCCACAGAAACTTTTGTTCAAAGGAAATGTCCATTTGTTGTGAGACATAGGTGATGAGCTTCACTCCAACTGCTAAAGCAGACAGTTCAAGGCGGGGAATGGTAATGGTCTGATGGAGGGGGGCTAGTCTGGACTTTGCCATTATGAGTGAGGCTTCTCTTCCATTATGTTGGAGATGTCGAACCATGTAGGCAACAGCGCAGTAGGCATCGGCGGGAGCATCGACAAAGACATGAAGATCATAGGTAGCAAAGCTGTCGTGATCATTGGAGAAAAGTTGCCGTCTAAATGATATTTGGGGGGCATTCCAGGATTCAGTGATTCGTAACCATTGTGCGTGTTGTTCTGGAGAGAGAATGTCGTCCCAGCCTTTCTGTGCTTTCCATAACGATTGTAGGAATAGTTTTCCCAGGAGGGTCGTGGGGGTAAGAAATCCTAGAGGATCGTAAATGCTAGCGATCTCCTTGAGAACTTTTCTTTTTGTCCAATTTCTAGACTGTCTAGAAGATAACTGTATAAACGGTAACGGGATGGATATCTCATCTGTTGTAGTATCCCACTGAAGTCCTAGAAGTTTCTGTTGAGAAGTTGTGATTCGGTCTCCGTTTATTTCGAAGAAGTTGTTAAGGTCCTTGTCATTACTCACATATCCTCTAAGATTCATACCTGCCTTCTGGAAGAGATCTCTTGACGCTTGATAAAAGTCCTTTCCTTCTGCGACCTTTTCTACGCCATGAAATACATTGTCTACATAAGTGTTCCGGAGTAGATTTGAGGAAAGTGGCGTTTGCTGAGTCGTGAGATGATGATGAATGGTCCCGGAGAGAAGGAATGGAGAACATATCAATCCGAAGGGTACGCGAGTGAACCGATAAGTAATGACGTTATCGGTGAGGGCTGGTTTCGTTGGGTCTTTAAGCCATAGGAACCGCGTGTAATTTCTCGAGTTTGGGTGAAGTCCGACCATCAAGAAGGCCTTCTCGATATCGCTACTGATTAGGATTTTTGGAATTCGGCAGCGTATCAAGATTCCTGTAAGGTTTGGAAGGAGTACGGGGCCTCTGTGAAGCATTTCATTAATGCTCATGCTTCCTTTTCGCTTGGCTGAACCGTCGAATACGCAGCGGAGTTTAATTTCCATCTCGTTCCTTTTTACTACTCCATGATGAGAAAGATAATGACAAGGGGATCGTAAATCGTTTTCTGGAACCTTTTCAATTATGCCCTTCCTTAATTGGTCGATGATGATATCGTGATATTTCTTCATATAGACGAGATTCTGTAGTAGCGTCCTTTGAAGTGTTGCCAACCTACAGTATGCCATTGAGTAATTGTCTGGAAGATGACGAGGATCTGCTTTGAAAGGAAGTTGTACGACGTATCTCTTAGCATCGTTGTCGTATGATATGCTGTCGTTGAAAAATTGAAGACATACGTCATCATCCCTCTGGCTTGGATCATCCATGATTCCAACTGACTCCAAGGTCCAAAATTTGTGCACAAGTTCCGTCAAGGTGTCGTAATTAGCTGGATGCTCAATGCTGTTGTCAGATAATATGAAATGAAAGCATTTGTGTTTCTGAGGTTGAAGATTTTACCGGTTAGGATGTCTCCAATACTGGTGTGCAACAATCGGGAGCCGTTCGAGAGTGTTTCATAGGAGAAGTCGTTGGTAAGAACAATGTCCCAGAAGTAGTCGTTTCCGATTAGGAGAGATGCCTGTGAGTTGCAGATCCTTACAGCGCTTCCATTGGTTGTTTTCTCTTGTCGAGCAAACTTGAGGCGTCCTGTCAACATAGATACTGATTTGATGGCTAACTGTTGTGTTCCTGTCTTTGTTTGAATTCCAATCAAGTGATCGTTAGAAGTGACGTGAAGTGGTACGTCCGTTCCGAAGGTAGATATAGAGACATATTCAGAGTTCAGCACTGGTAAATTAGAGCTTCTGCAACGTTACTGCATATATATGAGTGACTTGAGCCGGAGTCGAGAAAGGCTGTGACGTCCATAGTTTTTGATTTGTCCATTGGGTTGAAAACGGTCACCGTTGTGCACATGAGTGTAGCTGCAGAAGATGTGGTAAGTGCGGAAGAGCTTGATGTAATTATGACTTCATCTTTTTCGTCCCCATGTCCTTGCGCACTTCCTTCCTCATCATGATTTTCAGAATTCTGTGCAGCCACGTGTATGAAGCGTTGGCGGCTACTTGATGAAAGTTCCTTCATTGGAGGCCGGAGTGTGGTGCGATTTGATGCCGTCCTTGTCTGCTTCTCAGCTTGTGTCAGGCAGAGTGATGAGTGATGGCGTTTGGAGCAGAAAGTACAGACGCGTTTTGAAGGACAATTTCTCGTACTGTGCCGATTCGAAAGACAGTTATAACATAGACGACGCTCTCTTACGTGTTTGATCCGTCGTTGTGGTGTAGTAAAGGTGTCGCAGTTGGACGGAAGGTGTTGGCTTGACATGCATAATGGACAGGCCTTTAGGCGTTGTTGGTTTCTGCGTTGTTTAGAAGCAGATGATCGGTTTCCTCGAGCTCTGGAGGAGATAAAGTACGTTTGATGATGATGCTCATCCATTGGCCGTATATGGGAGGACATTTCAGATAGAGTTGCGTTCTTGCGAACTATATCAGTCAAGATGTGAAGTAATTCACTAGGTGACAGATTATGAGAGTTTGATGTTCTGTCATAAATCTGACTCCTTACGCGTAATGGGAGTTTATTGAAAAGAATCGCACCGAGTCCAGTCTCTTTTGAGTCATCATAGCCGTTTGTAAATTGTCGTACGAGCGCAAACATTCGATTATAAAGACTGTGGAGATGTCGTCTTCGGGATCGCAGGGAGGAAGATCGGCCAGCCTTGAATAAAGTATATGTTTAATAGTTACCTTATCATCGTAGTGTGTCTTCAGAATGTCCATGGCGATTTTGTAATTCTCAGACGTCACTGACAGTCCTTGTATGGAGTTCAATGCGGGCCCTCTCAAGCATGATTTCAGGAGTGAAAACTTGGTTGTGTTGTCGAGTTCTGTTTTGTTCCCGACCAAGGTTGCAAAGCGAGACGAGAATTCGGGATACTCCAAAAAATTTCCGTCGAATGTAGGAAGTTTCATTTTGCTCAATATTGATGCGTCAACAAAGTTGAGAAGTGACGCATTGGGAGGCGGCGTGACGTTGTAGTGACTCACCCTGGATATGTGGCTCTGTCTGTCGGTCGGCGCTGTCAGATCATGTTGGTTCGTATTGATGTTGGCGTGGTCATCGGCGATGGTAACGTCTGAAGAACCGGAAGAGAGGTTTATGTTGCGTTTATTAAGCTCGTTATCGAGGTCGTCGAGGAGAAGATCGAGTTCTTCTAGGTAAGTAACTGCTTCCGATATTGCAGTGCGGTAGTCTCCATACTTCGTGATATAGTCGTGGAATGACTGTGCTTCGTCGGCATCGGATTCTTGCTGTTTTGCCCATTCGTCGTGGAGGGAAGTGATTCGATTGTAAGCCTTGAGAAGATTAGACTTTATACTGTGGACCTCGAAGCGAAAGGATTCGAGTTGGTCGTCGTCCAAGTGCGTGAATTCTGGGTTCTTGACAGCAATTTCATAATCCTTAAGTGTTTGAGTAACTGACGTGCAGCATCGTTGAATTTGTTTCTTGAGGAAGCCGATTTGCCGACGAGTTTTAACGCTGTCGAACATAGCTTGTCGAAGTAGATGAGTTGAAGTTGGAATCAAAGGGGTGCTCTGGGAAAGAGAGGTAAAGGTTCGTCGTTCTTGACGCAGGAATCAGAATGTTGCCGGTGTCGGCGGTGTAGATATGTCGTTTTTTCGACAGGAGCGATGCGGGAGTAGAGTGGATGGGCAGAAGCCGCTAAGGAGAAGGTTGATGATCGTGTCGGGTGGTTGGGCAGAAGCCGCTAAGGAGAAGGGTTGACGA